AGAGCCTTTTTCTTTTCCCCCCTTCTTCTCCTGCCTTTCTCGTTTTTTGGAAGTGGGTGCTGCTCCCAAAAAAAACCCCAAAAAACCAATCCCACGGTGATCCAGAAAATGCATTTTCTGTCTGGGAATTTTCTGTTTAATTTTCTGTTTAATTTTCTGTTTTAACAGGAAGTTCCTGAGGGGTTTTTGTTGGGTTTTTTTGGGGTTTTTTTGTTAATTGAGGAAAATCCTGTGCTCAGGATTCTCCAAACCCCGATAAGTGAGTCTGGAATTATTCCTGTTCCGTCACGCTCCGGCTCACCTGAACAATTCCCCCTTTTTTCCTCGGCTGGGAGGGGCGTGGAAAAGGGGATTTTTATCAGGATGGAAGTGGGAATAAGATCAAAGAATGGGTTGGGTTGGAAAGGGGGGACCTTAAAAAGAATTCCCAACCCCCTTCCATGGGCAGGGACGGCCTTGGACACTTCCAGGGATGGAACAGCCGCAGCTTTTCTGGGAATTCCATCCCATCCCAACCCTCACCGCAATGCTCAGAGCGCAGAGCGAGTTTGGGAATGTTTTTTTTTGTGGGAAAACCCATGGGAATAACACAGGGAGGAAAACAGATCTTAATTTATCATGTCCAAAATCCCCCAAAGTGTTTTTTTTTGGGAAGCTCCAAACAGGAAATCAGCGCGAATCCCTTGGGAAAAGCCAAGCTGGGTGTGCAGGAGGAGGAGGTTTGGAAACAGATCCTGGAAAATCCCGATCCAGACTTTTGAGCCCCGGGTGGGATTTGTTTCATTCCCTGTGTTCCTCAGCCTTATCAGCTCGTGAAGTGCCTTATCAGGAGGGATCTGCGGCCTTCGGAATTCTGAGGTGCCGTAGGGATCGTAGAAAAATCGGGATATTCCCGGCATGTGCAAAAATCTTCCCTTAAGGCTTTTAACTACGGGGAAAAAGTGGCTTTTTTGGGGGATAATTTTGTGGGAATACCTGGATCTGGGAAGTGGCATTCCCACTGTGTCCAGGGACCTCGAATCCTGGGATTGGTTTTGGGCCCTTCGTGATAAGAAGGATATTGAGGGGCTGGAGCGTGTCCAGGGATGAGAATGGATTTGGGGAAAGGTCTGGAATGCCAGGAGCAGCTGCAGGGGGAGGAAAAAAAGGAGTTTTTTTAGGGATAAATAGGCTGAGCTTAAGAGTTGTGTCCTTGCGTCAAACCCCACTGCAAATCTGGGAATTCCGATCCCATTCCTTGTTCCCTTTCCCTCCAGCGGAACACGGAAAACTCCTAAATTTGGAAAACGGAGAGCCTGGATATTTCAGTGCCGTGAGAATTTTTTCCCCGTGGTTGGTTTTTTGTTCCGGAGAACCTGGAAAAGGGAATTTCAGAAGGTACAAAACCCGCCCGCGGCAGCGATTAAAGGTTGCCGGTGACTCATGGATCTCCCTCCACCCACATTCCCTGATCCAAGAGCGTCTTTTCCCGATTCATGTCGGATTTTCCTGGGTGGCAGAAATCGTTTCGCCTTCAGGAACGCTCTGAGGAGCTTTTTCCAGTTCCTGAAGGGGCTCCAGGAGAGCTGGAGAGGGATTTGGGATAAGGGGTGAAGGGACAGGACGCAGGGAATGGATTCCCAATGGTTGGATGGGATATTGGGAAGGAATTCTTCACTTTGAGGGGCTGGGATGGAATTCCCAGAAAAGCTGTGGATGTCACATCCCTGGAAGTGTCCAAGGCCAGGTTGGATGGGGCTTGGAATTGAATGGGCTCTGATCCAACCCCTTCCAACCCAAATTCCACAATTTTGTGAATTTAAACGGAAGAACTTAAAGCTCCGTGGAATTTTGGCTCGAGCAGGATTTAAAGGCACAAATGTCCAAAGGGGTCGGCAAAAACCTGGAAAACTCTGAGGAAAAAACAGGGATTGGGAAGGAAAAAATGAGGAATAAATTCCTGGGGACCTGTGTAGGTAAAAAGTAGAATTTTGGAATTGTTTAGGCTGGAAACGAGCTTTGAGGTTGAGCCCCCAGCTCTTCCAAGGCCACCACGTCCCCGAGTGGATTTTGGATCTTTCCTGGACAGCCCTTTCCAGGAGGAATTCTCCCAAAAAAAATATCCCACCTAAACCTCTCCTGATGCCACTTGAGGCCATTTCCTCTTGTCCTGTCCTTCATTCCCTTGGGAGAAAATCCCGATTTTCACCCGGCTCCAACCTCGGAGCAGAAAATTGCAGCGGGGGAATTCCAATAAGTCTGGAATTAATCCAAAGGGACAGAAACCCGGGAGAAGAAAATCGGATGTGAAGGAGGCCGAGGATGCTCCGGGCTACGTGTGGAAGTTGCGTGCACGGAGAGGGACGTGGAGGCTCTTTGATTGTGATCAGGAATGAAATTCAGGCTCAGGAAAAAAAAAAAACAGGGAAGTTTGGAATGGTTGTGAGGGAAAAACGGGCAGCGCTTCGGTCCCTAAATCTCTATTTATGGAGAATGCGAAAATATTCCAGCCAAACTTAAATCCCGAATGGAGATTTGGTGCCGCCTCCGTGGGTTTTTTAGGAATTGTTGCTCCTGGAAAGTCGTGGAATTAGGGAAGCCTTTGAGGTAGGAAGGGCAGGAATAAATGAGTTAATGGATTTGCCTGAAATTGTGGGAATGAGAGTGGACCAAACTTTTTAAGGAAAAGTTTTGGGGGTAGTATTTTCTGTAGTCAGATAAATGCGTAAAAATCCTCCTTGTTTTGAGCAGGAAAATTTGGAGCAGGAACGGGAAAAAGCTTGGAGCAAGGGTCAAATCACCAAAAAAAATTCCGTGATTTGAGGATCTTGTGCCTCGCGCTTCCGCTCCTTCATAGAGCCGAGAATTCCAAGGGAAAGCTCGGGATTGGGAGAGGTCCTGTGGTTCATCCCGAAAATCTGAGGGACGAGGGAACAGGCAGGGTGTGATCTCACAGAGATGGTCTGAGGGTGCCCCAGAACCAATTTTTATTTTTTTTCGGATCCTTCTCCCTGAATGAACTTTTGTATTTTTGACAAAATTTGCCTGGAAATGTTTTTTTGTTTTTTTTTTTTTATCCCGTCTTTTCCCTGCGGGATACCGAAGGAATGGCAGAGGAAGCGATGGGAGTGGGAGGGCCGGAAAATTGGGGAAAAAAAAGGATGAAAAGTGTGACCGTGGCAGGAGAAATTCACACTTGGAGAAATTCCAAGTAGAACTTGGGCACGAGGAAGACATTTGGGAAGATGCTGATGGAACATTGGAGCTGGCTGGGGGTTGGGATCTGATCCCAGGGAAAAAGGGACAGGATGAGGGAAAACTCCAGCCACACCAGGGGAGGTTTAGGGTGGATTTGGGGAAAATTCCTCCTGGAAAGGGCTTGGCACAGAGAGATTTGGGAATATTTTTGGCTGGGAACGATAACGCAGAATCCATTTTACGCAGAAGAAGTCCAGTTAAAAATCCCAGGATGGAGAAATAGGAATGACAAAGGGTGTGGGATTTCTCCTTGTCTTCTTCTAAATCAGAGGGAGAAGCTCCAATTGAGCTTCCAACCCTTTTATCCACCAAAATATTTCCAAGGAATTCCTTTTTTTCCCTATTCCTCGACTCAAATGGAAACTCCTCCAACCTGCTCCGTGTGTTTCACTTATTCCTTTCCCAGTTTTAGATTCGCTTCCCCTTGACAAATTTCCTTTTATCCCTAAAAAAGGCCTTGAACCTCTCCAAAGAGCGAAAATACTCGGAGCAGATTTGGGTTTTTTCCCACATCTGACTCAGGAGCTCCTCTGTCAGCTGGAGGAGGAGGAAGAATAATTTAAAATAATTTAAAATAATTTAAAATATTCAACCCTTCACCAGCAGCGCTCCAAGAACATTTCTAACGCAGCCGGAATAAAATTCGGGTTTTGGAGCTCTCTCGGTATCGATTTGTTGCTTCAATTTGTTCGTTGTGCGGGGAGGGAGGAAAAGGTTTTTTAAAAAGATTTCTGAGCCCACCCAGCGATGGCTGAGCCATTGCAGAGTTGCTTTGGCTGTTCATGGTTAATTTGGTTTCTATTTAAAGCCAGCAGGGATTTATTTTGCCGAGTTTCAAAGGAGAGAAAAAAGGGAGGAGTGGGCGGATCTCATCGGGACCCTGATTTAGGAGATGTCTCCTCCTTCCCCACCTCAAATCGGAGCTTTTTGATCCTAAATTTCAGTCTCACCCTCGCCTGGGTGCAAGTGGCATTTGTCAGCCTGAGGGAGAATAAATTATAAACATCCTAAAAAAAACCCCAAAACCCGAAACAAACCCCAAATCTTGATTTTTAAGGAATTTTCCTGCTCGCCTCATCGTCCTCCCTCATTTTTAGCTGCACTTTTCAACCGTAGCTTCCAAGAGCACGGGTCGTTGAGTTTGAGATTGGCAGATGAGATTCCCTCCGGCTCCGACGTCGCTCCGAGGAATCCGCGTCCGGACAGGCGGAATTGAGCCGGGTGGGCACCGCTGGGTGAAGAACCCAACGAAGGCATTGCCAGGGGGTTGGGAATGCCCTCGGAGCGTGGAAAAGTCTGGAAATTCCTACTCTTCCCTGGAAATTTGCTGTCCAGGCAGTTGGAAGAGGTTTTTTTCTTGGGGTTGGAGTTGAGGTCGGACTCCGGGATCTTGGAATGCCGCGTCATCCTGGAATCTTTGTCTCGGTTTCTGAGCAGGGATTTTGGGTGGTTCTTGATGAGTTTCTGCTCAAATGTTTGGGTTTAAATGTTTGGGAATAGCCTTGAGGGTTGGGATTGATTTTCCTTTCCCTGAAAAAATCGGATCGTGTTGGAGCCAGGCTGGGAGAACTGGGAATGTCCAGCCTGGAGAAGAGAAGGATCCAGGGAGAGCTCAAAACCCCTTCCAGTGCCTGAAGGGGCTCCAGGAGAGCTGGAGAGGGAATTTGGGACAAGGTTTGGAGTGACAGGACACAGGGAATGGCTTTAAACTGGAATAGGGTGAGATTAGGTGGGATATTGAGAAGGAATTCTTCCTTGTGAGGGTGGTGAGGCCTGGAATGGAATTCCCAGAGAATCCGTGGCTGCCCCATCCCTGGAATTGTCCAATGCCAGCTTGGACAGGGCTTGGAGCAACTTGGGATAAGTGGAAGTTGTCCAAGGCAAGGAGTTGGAGCTGGATGGTCTCCAAGGTCATTTCCAACCCAACCCATTCCGGAATTTTGTCCTGCTGGTGCCACTTAGGAAGGAGAATCCTGCTGGATAACGAGATCAGCTCCCCATCCAACACCTCGTAGCCATCGTGTGGCCAAGGTCCAGCTGGCTGTGGACCTTCTCCATGGACGCTCAGCGTGCTTGGAGAACATCCCAAGCCGCTCAAATTTAGGGACAAACGACTTTTTTTGGACGGTTTGTGGTGGGGAAACGTTCCTGGTGAACTCACTGGGGTGAGTCGCCCGAAACCCGTCCCCGCGCCAGACAGGCCGAGCGAGTCCTGGAGGCTCCGACAACGTCTCATCCGTGCCCAAACAACCACTGCCATCTCCCAAAACGTTGGGATGAGATCGTTTATCCCGGGAGGCAGCCGCTGTGCTTCCTTCAAGTGTCTGGGGGGACGATTTCCCTAATTTTCCTGCTGCTCCAAGGGTTTAATCAGCCAGCAAATTGCAGGCCTGGCTGATTCCCGCCTTATCTCCCGGCCTCGCTGCTCGGGTTCAAGGGCCCTGCTTGGCTTTGTCGTTTCGGGATGAGCTCCCAGACTTCTTTCAGGGCGGAATTAGTGGGATTAAAGGCTTCGGGTACACCCGGACCTGCTGGTTTGAGCAGCTTCTCCAGGAGAGCAAACTTTGTTTAACCACAGGAAGCGTTTCGAGTTCTTTGAATCGTTCCAGGTGAGGAGGAGCCTTTTCCATGAAAAACCCCTCACCCCGTGACTCAGCCACATCCAGCTCGGGAATTGCGTTAAATCCGACAAATTTCCTTGTGATCCGTAAAAATTCCATGATGTAGCATGCTTTAACCTGGTTACCTGCTTCTCCTGTGGTTTTTCAGAGGGATCCCTGCGTTCCCTCTGCCCTATTTTCCCCTGGCAGCTCCATCGTGAGGGTGACACGGATAAGAAGGGAATTTTCTCCTCTCCCACGGGGCCGGGAGCCTGATTTGCTCCCGGAAAACATCGCTGGGATAATCAAACCTTCCCAGCTGCTTTGTTCCAGGCACCTATTATTGGGAAAAATAGGCTGCTGTGAACTCTCACAAAGGCTTTGGAAAGCTGGAATTCAAAGGGAGACAGGTTCAGGAGGAGGATTTGGTCACCTCGCCCTTTTGGGGAGGGTGTGGGAGTTGGGATTTGGGTCATTTGTTCCTCTCGTGTAATAAAAAACAGATCCTAATTGCTACAAATTCTTATTATTATACCAAAATTACCGTGACAGGTAAACCATGCCTGACGCCGTCGTTCCAAAAATGACAATACAAAAAAAATGAATCGTTTTCCCGACCATAATTCCCTGTTTTTCCGGTCCACAGCTCCAGAGCTTCCAAGATGTGGGTGATGGGTGGGCTGGATGAAATTCTTCCTACTCCGTGCTGGTTTTTCTCCCGTTTTGTTCTCCAGAGTGGTGGAGTTTGGCCTCCTGGTCCAAGGAACCTTTGGAAATGGCTCTCTAGGAAATGCTGGAATTTTGGGGTCCTCGACAACCCTTGTGGAATAGCTCAGGTTATTCCATGATTTTGATTCCGTGTCTTTGAGAATCTTTCTGTGATTCTCGCCCTTTGTTTTGGGGTGCTAGGAGTTGGAAAAACCTGGGAAAATGGGGAAGGAATAATTCTACTCTTAAAATCAAATTGCCGGCCTTAAAGCAGGGAATAATTCCATTGTGGATGGAGTGTGGGTGATGGAAATGGGCTCTTTGCTGTAGAGTAGCCACGGCAACATCAGAATTCCTAAAAATGTTTTATTTTAAGGATCCTCTTCATGAGCACCCAAGACCACCCTGACTTCTGTTCCAAAATATTCTTCCTTGGGAGAAATGAGTTCCCAGCACTTAAACCTCCCCAAACTGGTTTAAAACCCTGCTTTGAGCCCTAAAAACTGGGAAAATCCTTATTTAAATATTCCTTATGCAAAGTGGAGCTCCTGACTCGACCGGTGCCGCAGGTATTCCCTTGTTTTACCTCCTGATTATCCCACAGCAGCTTCTCCTACGTTCTCAGCTCCCGTCTGCAGCTCCAACCACAAATCCCAAAGTTTTGAGTCAGCCCCTCATTCCAGCTGCCTCCGGAGCGCTTCTCTCCCACACGCACCCGGTTCCTCTTCTTCCCTTGGCTTTCCCACTTGCCAGCCCGGCAATCATTCCCTGTTTTTGTGGTGGAAAAATAGGGATTAATCATCCTGACAGCTCCGTGACGACTTCCAGGGCACCTGATTTAAACGGGATGAGGCAAAAATCTTATTTACCGCGCCTCGGCTTTTCCTCCTTTCCTTTGCCGTTTGTTTAAGACAGGTTTGGATCTGTTGGAGCAAATCCAGGAGATGCTCCAAGGGTTGGAGAGAGGCTGGGAGAGCTGGGAATGTACATCCTGGAGAAGAGAAGGCTCCAAGGAGACCACAGAGGTCCTTTTTAGTTCCTAAAGGGACTCCAGGAGAGCTGGAGAGGGAATTTGGAATAGGAATGGACGGACAGGACACTGGGAATGACATGACAGCAAGGATAGATGGGATACTGGGAAGGAATTTCTGGCTGTGAGGGTGGTGAGGTCTGGAATGCAATTCCAGGAGAATCTGTGGCCACCCCATCCCTAGAAGTGTCCAAGGCCAAGTTGGAGCAACCTGGGATGGAGGAAGGTCAACTATCCCATGGGATAAGATTCTGGGAATCTGGGAGAGGCTTTCATGCCCATGGCAGGGGGTGGGACTGGATGATCCTGAAGGTTCCTTCCCACCCAAACCATCCCACGGTGTTTATTTCTGGCTCAGCCACGCTCCGGCAAGACATTAAAAATCCCAACCAATTATTCAATTTTCTTCAACTTCCCCGAAAACCTCATTCTGCCTTATTTTTTGGGGGGGATTTTGGAAGGGTTTTTGTCTTCTCCTCATCTTTTCCCTTCCAAGGCCTTCAACCAGAGCGTTCTACTCACGCCTTGGTTCTTCTCCTACCTGTGGAATACAGGGCTGCTAAACCAGGATTTTCCCGGTTATCCCGAATTTTTTACACAGCCTGGGAGGTCTGAGAAATTTATTGAGAAGCCTCGTGGGATTTGCCGGAAAATTTGCCCCCTCCTGCCTTTATTTCTCACGTTTTTCCTTCTGCTCCATTTCTCCTCGCTTGCTTTTTTCACACCTTCCGCGTCCTCCTTCACGGCTCCGGCAGAAACTCCTTCATCCCCACATGGAGAGACTCGGAATTCTGTCGGAAAGCTGCAGAAGCACAAAAATTTCCCTTCTGGCTGCTTTTCACGGAGCTGCCGGAGTCCAGTGGAGCCGCAGGGATGTGCAAACTCCATCCTCAGGTGTTTCACGGAGTTGCTCCTAATTTTTCTGTTCCAGGACTTCTGTCCTTTTCCCTTGGGATTAACCTTTGAGTTTCCTCCTCCTCCCATCGTTTTTTGGTCGTTCCCTGTTGGAATTGTCTCGTATCGGGTGTTTGGATATCTCTCTTAGAATGAAGGAATTGTTGGGGTTGGGAAAGATTTCCATGCTCAAGGAGTCCAACCATTCCTTCGGCACCGCCAAGGCCACATCCACAGGGATGTGGAATCCCTCCAGGAGATGGGGATTCCACCTCTGTGCCAGAGCTGGACAGCCTAAAAATATTCCCAATATCCAACCTAAACCTCCCCTGGCACAGCTTGAGGCCGTGTCCTCTCATCTTTGTTCCCTGGGAGCAGATCCCAACCCCCCAGCTGGCTCCAACATCCCGTCAGCATCTTCCCAACTGTTTTCCTCGTGCTCTGCCGTTCGCTTGGAATTTCTCCAACTGTTGAGCTCCTGCTACAGTCACACTTTTTTGTCTTTTTTCTTTTTTTTTTTTTCTTTCCCCCCCCTCATTCTCCTGTCCTCCTACTCCCATCACTCCCGCTGCCATTCCTTCAGTATCTCGCAGGGAAAAGATGTTTTCATACTCTGGGATCTCGTGGAGTCTTTGATGCTGGGATATGCAAATTTATTTGCATCTCCTTTGTGCTGCCGGTACCTTGCTGCGTCTTTCAGGTGCTGGATTGTTGATCCAGCTCCGCTGTATCCCGGTGGGAATTAACCCTCATGCTGGGAGACTCTTGGTAGCTGTTAATCCAAGAAAACAAAACCAAAAACTGCATTAATTCCTGCCAGTTTTAGCACGGAGTTTTTTTGGCTGCTGTGAGTCGTGAACAAGAGGCCGGAGGGAGAATTGGGAGTGTGGAATTTGGAAAGAAAATGTAGGGAAGAGAGAAGTTGTGGCGAGGATATGCCGTGACCTTCCTTCTGCTGGAGCAAAACGGGCCTCGGTTGTGTCAGATTGGGAGGGAATGATAAAATTTTCCGTTGGTTTCGGCGGGATTCCTTGTGAAGAACTTGGGAGTTCCGTGGGTGGTTTGAGGCGCTTTCATGGAATCATGGAATGGTTTGGGTTGGAAGGGACCTTAAAGATCCCGTTCCAAATCGTTGCTGAGTATCCATTTCCGCGTCTGTTGGGAAAGTGACTCCTATCCACGGATATCCATCCCATTTTCCTCGAGGAAATCCCTCCGTGGAAGAACTTAAAATTTGAGGGTGTTCTGAAGGAAGGAGAAGTCTGGAGCAGCTCCTTGTATCCAAGTTTTATCGTGGATACGGCACGTTTCCTTCCGATGGCGACGGGAACGCGATCCGTGCCGTGCAGCCAATGGGCCGGCTGGGAAGCCAAAATCAACAGCGTGCAGTAGGAGGAGGAATTTTGATGTGTCAGGGAACAAAATCCAGTGTAGGTTGGTGTGGAGTTGATTCCAGCCTCAAATGGGAGGAATTAAACCCAGAATTCGTGCATGGAATGCGATGATGGATTCCACGTTTGCTTCTGGAGTGTTGATGGGCAGCGTTGTCCTGCCCTGCCGTGGATCGCTCCATTTTGGGAGTTTGTGGGAAGGGGTTGGGTGGGAAGGTGAGGAAAGGTGGGTCCAGTGTGGGAGGTTGGGAATGATTATTCTGGAAGGTGAGGAAGGGTCTGGTGTGGAAGGTTGGGAATGGTCATTGTGGAAGGTGAGGAATGTTCTGGTGTGGAAGGTGAGGAATGTTCTGGTGTGGAAAGTTGGGAGTGGTCATTGTAATAGGTGAGGAATGATTTGGTGTGGAAGGTGAGGAATCTTCTGGTGTGGAAGGTTGGGAATGATTATTCTGGAAGGTGAAGAAGGGTCTGGTGTGGAAGGTTGGGATTGGTTGTTGTAGAAGGTGAGGAATGTTCTGGTGTGGAAGGTGAGGAAGGGTCTGGTGTGGAAAGTTGGGAGTGGTCCTTGTAGAAAGTGAGGAGTGATCTGATGTTGAAGGTGAGGAATGTTCTGGTGTGGAAGGTTGGGAATGATTATTCTGGAAGGTGAGGAATGATCTGGTGTGGGAAGGTTGGGAATGGTCATTGTAGAAGGTGAGGAATGTTCTGGTGTAGAAGGTGAGGAATGATTTGGTGTGGAAAGTTGGGAGTGGTCATTGTAATAGGTGAGGAATGATCTGGTGTGGAAAGTTGGGAGTGGTCATTGTAATAGGTGAGGAATGATCTGGTGTGGAAGGTGGGGAATGATCATTCTGGAAGGTGAAGAATGGTCTGGTGTGGAAGGTTCGGATTGGTTGTTGTAGAAGGTGAGGAAGGGTCTGGTGTGGAAGGCAGGGAATGGTCATTGTGGAAGGTGAGGAATGATCTGGTGTGGGAAGTTGGGAGTGGTCATTGCAGAAGTGAGGTTGGTGTGGAAGGTTGGAATGATCTGGTGTGGAAGGTGAGGAAGGGTTTGGTGTGGAAGGTGAGGAATGTTCTGGTGTGGAAAGTTGGGAGTGGTCATTGTGGAAGGTGAGGAAGGGTCTGGTGTGGAAGGTTGGGAATGGTCATTGTGGAAGGTGAGGAATGTTCTGGTGTAGAAGGTTGGGAATGATTATTCTGGAAGGTGAGGATTCTTCTGGTGTGGAAGATGAGGAAAGCTCCAATGTGGAGGGTGAGGAGCAATCCCATGTGAAAGGTGAGGAGCAATCCAATGTGGAAGATGGGGACGGATTTTATGTGGAAGATGAGGGACAATCCCATGTGGAAGGTGGGAATGGATTTTATGTGAAAGGTGAGGGACAATCCCATGTGGAAGGTGAGGGAAGCTCCAGTGTGGAGGGTGAGGAGCAATCCCATGTGGAAGGTGGGGATGGATTTTATGTGAAATGTGAGGGACAATCCCGTGTGGAAGGTGAGGGAAGCTCCAGTGTGGAGGGTGAGGAGCAATCCCATGTGGAAGATGGGGATGGATTTTATGTGAAAGGTGAGGAGCAATCCCATGTGGAAGGTGATGAAGCGTCTGGTGTGGAAGGTGAGGTAAGCTCCAATATGGAGGGTGAGGAGCAATCCCATGTGGAAGGTGAGGAGCAATCCCATGTGGAAGGTGGGGATGGATTTTATTTGGAAGGTGAGGTAAGCTCCAATATGGAAGGTGAGGAGCAATCCCCTGTGGAAGGTGAGGAGCAATCCCATGTGGAAGGTGGGGATGGATTTTATATGAAAGGTGAGGGACAATCCCATGTGGAAAGTGAGGAAAGCTCCAGTGTGGAGGGTGAGGAGCAATCCCATGTGGAAGGTGAGGAGCAATCCCATGTGGAAGATGGGGATGGATTTTATGTGAAAGGTGAGGGACAATCCCATGTGTAAGGTGAGGAAAGCTCCAATATGGAAGGTGAGGATCAATCCCGTGTGGAAGGTGAGGAGCAATCCCATGTGGAAGGTGAGGAGCAATCCCATGTGGAAGGTGGGGACGGATTTTATGTGGAAGGTGAGGGACAATCCCATGTGGAAGGTGAGGAAAGCTCCAATATGGAAGGTGAGGAGCAATCCCATGTGGAAGATGGGGATGGATTTTATTTGGAAGGTGAGGAAAGCTCCAATATGGAGGGTGAGGAGCAATCCCATGTGGAAGATGGGGACGGATTTGATGTGAAAGGTGAGGGACAATCCCATGTGGAAGGTGGGGACGGATTTTATGTGGAAGATGAGGGACAATCCCATGTGGAAGGTGAGGAAAGCTCCAGTGTGGAGGGTGAGAAGCAATCCTGTGTGGAAGGTGGGGATTTAAACTCACAACCAAAACCTGGTTTTATCCTCCCGGCCCTCAGGTCCATCCCAAACCCCGCAGCAGGTGCTGAGGAGCGCTCTGGCTCCCGGCAATTAAACGCCGCTAACGACGGAATCGCTCGTTCCGTCCCTCGTGATTGCAGAGGGACGCTCCTGGCGCAGCCTCTCAACACGGTTCTGCAGCACTGGAAAGGAAAAAAAAAATTAAAAAATAAAATCAAATATGAATATTTTAAGGAGACAGATTGCTGCCTTCATCTGGCTCCCTGATTAGATGCCAGGGCGGCACCGTGCGACAGGAATTCCATTCTTTTCCTTCCCTTCCCTCTTTCTTTTCCCTCTTTTATTGAAATATTGATTTTTGATTCTCTGGAAAGATTCACTGTGGGGGTAAAATCCCTTTTTGCTGCCTGAACTTGTGAAAACCTTGAAGCCTCCAGGCCCAAAGGTGACCCGCAGAGCTCTGCAGGATTTTTGGGAAGCGGGAAAACGGCGGTGACGGCGCCGTCGGCTCCGGTAAAATGCGGATTTAAAGTGCAACTCGGGCTTGTTTTGCCCGTGCTGCTCTTCATGGTAATCTGAATTTTCAATGTAGTTTTCAAAGGTTTCCAAGCAACCATGTGTGGTCGGCTTTGGCACGATCCCAGCGTCCTCTCGCTTCCTTTGGGATGGCGCCAGCCAGGAAGTTTCCTGCTGGCTTGGAGCGGTGGGAGACGGCCACCGATGTCCTCTGCTCCGGGAACCCGCTGGCTGGGGCAGTTATTCCCCGGAATTGCGGATTCCAAGGGTTTGGGACCTTCTGCTTGGATAGAATCCACACGATTTTGAGAATTATGGGAAGCGGGATCTCGCTGTTCTCCACTCACGGATGGCTGTGTCCGGTTCTGGGGTTGTCCAGCATTGTTGGGATGTGGAGAAGATGGAGCAAGTCCAGAGGAGGACACGGAGATGCTCCAAGGGCTGGAGCTCCTCTGATCTGGAGCCAGGCTGGGAATGTCCAGCCTGGAGAAGGGAAGGATCCATGGAGATCTCAGAACCCCTTCCAGTGCTTGAAGGAGCTCCAGGAGAGCTGGAGAGGGAATTTGGGACAAGGGATGGAGGGACAGGACACAAGGAATGGCTTCCCACTGCCAGGGGACAGGGTTAGATGGGATTTTGGGAAGGAATTCTTCCCTGAGAAGGTGGTGAGGGGCTGGCATGGAATTCCCAGAGAATCTGTGGCCACCTCATTCCTGGAATTGTCCAAGGTGAGGTTGGACAGGGCTTGGAGCAACCTGGGATGGTGAAAGGTGCCCCTGCCCACGACAGGGGGGAGGAACGAGAGGAGCTTTAAGATCCATTTCAGACCAAACCATTCCACAATTCCGCAACGAAATCGGATTTGGCCGGTGTCCACCGCGGTGTTTAATGCTGTAAAAATAATTTGCTCTACCATGACCTTTCCTGTGATGCTCTGATGGGTTTTTTTTTTTCTGGGTTTTGCTGCACACGCTGGGAATAAAATCCAATCCCATTGATTCCACAGCCCAAATCTTGGAGTGCTGATGTTTTAATCCCATATTTTAACACGCTGCTCCCTCTCCGTTCTCCCCGGCCTGTTGCAAATCCAACCCTAAGGAATGAAGCTGGAGAACGAGACTCCTTCAGGACTGGAGGGCGTTTTTTCGGGATGATTTTTTTTTCCCATGTTGGTGAATTTGCTTTTCTGTCTCTCCTGATGTTCACACAACCCTGAGCAGTTTCTAAATTTGTATAAAATCTTCATTTCTGTTTGCTTGGCTTCTCCGTGTCCAGCTGGGAAATTGGGAAATGTTGCTGTTGTCCCACCTGGGAGCGGGAGCCACAGGAATTCAGCTGAGTAACAGCGGATTTTGGGAGTGGAAAATATAATTTCAGTCCTCGGGAGCTGCACCTGAGTCCTCTCCTGGTTCTTGGGCAATCCTGCCAGGGAATAACAAAACCTGGGAGGAGAGGGAGGCTCGGAGCATCCCGGTGTGCACAGGCCAAAGGAGGCCTGGGAAGAAACCCGGAAAATCCCTTTAAAGGTGAACGGGTTGGGCTCCTGAATCCCTGTGGAATGATTTGGGTTGGGAAGGACCCTAAAACCACCCAATTCCATGCCCTGATTATCCCAATCCCTTTTTTTCGGGCAGCTTTTCTCCAGGAAGGTGAATTCCGTGTCCGTGGGATTGGGTTTGTCAGCGGTCAGGAACGCTCATAACCACGGGATGTGATTCCATGCAGGTGCTTTTATTGAGAGCTCTGGGAATTCAGGGGTGCAGACCCAAATCTGACTCCTATTTTATATTCCATCGTTATATAACTTACATATCAATTGTTAAACTTACATTGTTCTGTTGTATACATTGACTTTATTCAAGCACGAGTTTCTCGTGATCTTTCTTAGGCCCCTGACCACAGTTTCTCATGATTATTCTTACGATTAAACAGCAACTATATTTAATTACTAAACAATCATCACATCTAACAATTATATCATTTATCATGTACAGGTGCAGCTCTAGCAAGGTACGAGGTCTGAATGTACCCAGGGTATTTTGTATTTATTTTTTTCCGGGCCTACTGAGCTTAATTTTCCTTTTAACCCTAAATCCCCATGATTTTAAAACCCTTTTACTATCAGGTTTAGGCAGAGCCATCACTCCAGAGGCTTTTCCAAGGTGGAGGGATTTGGGGTCCCTTCCCAGGGTCGGGTGCAGCCCCCCAGGAATAACGGGATGCTGACAGTGGGATCCTGGCCCAGGGATTTTCTTCCTTAATTTCCAAGTTTGATTTGAGTGAAATCTTTGGGAAAGAGGCTGGAGGGACAGGAGGAGGGGAATGGCTTTAAATTAACAGAGGGAATTTGGGATATTGGGAATTAATTCCTCCCTGTGAGGTTGGTGAGGGGCTGGGATGGAATTCCCAGAAAATCCGTGGCTGCCCCATCCCTGGAAGCATCCAAGGCCAGGTTGGATGGGATTGGAGCAATCTGGGATGGTGGAGCGAGGTTGGAACGAGATGATCTTGAAGGTCTTTCCCAAGCTAAAGCATTCCATGATTCCATTTTAAATCATAAAAACAGCGTTTCTCTGAGGGCTCCCGTCGTGCTTGGTACCTTTTGGAAGGAATTTAATTTCATTCTGATTTATAGGAATTTTAATTAGCAGAGGGAGGAGAATCTTAAGCGACATCTCCTGTTGAGGAATAACGACGCCAAACTTCCTCTTAACCAAAATATTGCTGCTGTTGTTGCTTGGAATTATTTCGGTTGGAAAACACCTCCAAGGTGCCACAGCTTTTCTTGGAATTCTATTCCAGCGACTCAACACCTTCACAGGGTGGAATTCATTCCCAATATTCCATATAATCCCACTTTTTGTCCATTTAAAGCCCCCCCCACCTTGTCCTGGCATTCCCAACCATTAGGTCCGGAATCTGCATTTTCCAGGGATGGAAACAACTTCCCCCAACCTCCTTTTGATGAGGTCCAGGAACCAAATTGAACCTTTAATTTTATTAAATGGAATTAGCGGAGTAAAGCCCTAATTAAGAAGGGTTTAACGATAATCTCTCGGAATGAGCAAAGTCGTGGTATCCTGCCTGTGCTCCACTCCCTGGTTTGGTTTTTTTTTGTTGTTATTTTTGGGAATGTTTTATAATAAGGATTTTTTAACAGAGTTTTGTGGCTCTTTCTGACTACAAATTTATTTACAAATCCATAAATTTGTAAATATTTATGGATTTATAAATATTTATAAATTTATAAATAAAGGGGTCATGGATCATGGTGGAGTCACCACCCATGGCCTTTTAGTTTTACTAAAACATCTTGAATATTTCATTTTCACTCTTCCAAGTTGCGGGTTTTTGGGTCTTTTTTTGGGGTTTTTTTGGGTTTTTGTTTGGTTTTTTCGTTTATGTTTTTTGTTTGTTTGCATTTTTGCTTGGTTTTTTGGTTTTTGGTTTGTTGGGTTTTTTTGGGGTTTTTTTGTGGGGTTTTTTTTGTTTGTTTTTTTGTTTTTGGTTTTGTTTTTGGGGGTTTTTTTGGGGGTTTTTTTGTGGGGGTTTTTTTGGGGTTTTTTGTTGGGTTTTTTTTGGGGTTTTTTGGGTTTTTTTTGATGCAGGTGAAGCAAATCCCATTTTACTCGACTGAAATCCCCACCTTTGCCCCCAAAACCTCCGAGGAATCAATCAGGGAATTTTAAAATGCAGCGTGACAGGATATTATTGTGGTAGAGGGAATGGTCTCCCGGCGGGAAATCCACGAATGTCAACTTTAACATTTTGACTGCTCTTCCTACGCTTTTCCCAAAATCCACCAGGCGAGTGGGTTTTCCTGCCCCGTCAACATTTAGGGATGAATATTCCTTTTATTTCTCCTCCTTTCCCTCCCTGTGATGTCCGAGCCATGGGATGATGTCACGGGAGCCGAAATTCGGCCGGGGAACAAATAAATGTTGTGAGGGCTGGGACAGAGGTGGGTGTTTTCCCGGGAAGGCTCAAAGTGCTGGAAAAATGCCAGCACGCTCCCTTCCTGGGATTCAGGCTGCTCTTGTGGGGTTGGGAATTCCAGGAGAACTCAATAACTTGTGGGGTTGGGAATTCCGGGAGAGCTCAGCCTCTTGTGGGGTTGGGAATTCCAGAGGAGCTCAACCCCTGTGGGGTTGGGAATTCCAGAGGAGCTTGATTTCTTGTGGGAAAGGGAATTCCAGAGGTGCTTAAACTCTTGTGGGGTTGGGAATTCAGGGGGAGCTGAAATTCTTGTGGGATTGGGAATTCAACAGGAGCTCAGCCTCTTGTGGGGTTGGGAATTCCAGAAGAGCTCAACCTCTTGTGGGGTTGGGAATTCCAGAGGAGCTGAAATTCTTATGGAGTTGGGAATTCAGGGGGTGTTCCCCCTTCTGTGGGGTTGGGAATTCCAGAGGAGCTCAACCTCTTGTGGGATTGGGAATTCCAGAGGAGCTCAACCCTTGTGGGGTTGGGAATTCCAGAGGAGCTTGATTTCTTGTGGGAAAGGGAATTTCAGAGGAGCTGAAACTCTTGTGGGGTTGGGAATTCCATGAGAACTCAATTTCTTGTGGGGTTGGGAATTCCAGAGGAGCTGAAACTCTTGTGGGTTTGGGAATTCCAGAGGAGCTCGATTTCTTGTGGGATTGGGAATTCCAGAGGAGCTCAGCCCTTGTGGGGTTGGGAATTCAGGGGGAGCTGAAATTCTTGTGGGGTTGGGAATTCAGTAGGAGCTCAGCCTCTTGTGGGGTTGAGAATTCCAGAGGAGCTTGATTTCTTGTGGGAAAGGAAATTCCAGAGGAGCTGAAACTCTTGTGGGGTTGGGAATTCCAGAAGAGCTGAAACTCTTGTGGGGTTGGGAATTCCAGAAGAGCTCAATTTCTTGTGGGATTGGGAATTTCAGAGGAGCTGAAACTCTTGTGGGGTTGGGAATTCCAGGAGAGCTCCATTTCTTGTGGGGTTGGGAATTCCAGAGGAGCTGAAATTCTTGTGGGGTTGGGAATTCAGCAGAAGCTCAGCCTCTTGTGGGGTTGGGAATTCCAGGAGAACTCAATTTCCTGTGGGGTTGGGAATTCCAGGAGAACTCAATAACTTATGGGGTTGGGAATTCAGGGGGTGCTCACCCTCCTGTGGGGTTGGGAATTCCAGGAGAACTCAATTTCTTGTGGGGTTGGGAATTCCAGAAGAGCTCGATTTCTTGTGGGATTGGGAATT